ATGAATCAACAATAATTAAAACATAAATGGTCCAAAATCACTACTAAACTATGGTAGTTCTCTCACTAAGCTAGTCCATAAACTTTTATTTAAAAAAAAGTAGTCCATAAACTTTAGAAAAAGAAAGATAGCAATTTCTTCTCTATCTTAAAAAGAATCTATATCCCCCACTAAAGCACTATGCAAAATAGCTTATTATAGCAAAAGATTTATTGTTATAGTTGATTATTATATCACAAATATTGGTGTGAAAAACTTGACACTTTTTTTTTATATAATCGTACTAAATTACTTTAGAATTGTTTAGAAGAACAAATTAAACTTTATAAGATAAAGGCATTTTAGGATATTCGTTAAATATTTTACTCTATTTTAAGTTTTGGTTACCAAAATGTCAAATCAGGGGAGGTAAGTGTAATTTTTAAAACATTAAGGAAACTAAGTAAAATAGTTAAAAATCTCAGGGAAGGTTTATGAAATTATCCCTTTAAGTTTTGGTTACGAGTAAGTGAAATAGTTAAAAACCTCGGGGAAGGTTTATGAAATTATCCCTTTAAGTTTTGGTTACCAAAATGTCAAATCAAGGGAGTAAGTGTAATTTTTAAAACATTAAGGAAACTAAGTGAAATAGTCAAAAACCTCAAGGGAGGTTTATGAAATTATCCCATTGACAATATTTATATATGGGGTTTTAAATCTTGATGTATTCTTGTGTTAAATTGCCTTTCAATCAGTCACCGGCTTCACAATGGTTCTTGATGTAGTCTTGCTCTACTGGACTGTTTTATAAACATTGTTGCAATATTCTCTCTCACTTGACATTTGGATAAATTTGAACTAGAAATCAAAGATACATGGGACTCTATATTAATACAATAAAAATGGCTTTTTTCTTTTTTCTTTTTTCTTTTTTAAGGTTACCATTTGCACATAACTCAAATTAGAGCATGGCTTTATATAAAACTGAAGAAGCCCTTTTAAAAATTTTCTTTAAAAAATACAAAATAAGAAACCTTAAAAACATGTATATTACACACTAAAGATTTTTAAAAAAATTAAAATTTACTTGACAGCCATCCCTGATCATAAGCAAACCAAACGAGTAGTTTTACAGTGATACTCATTCCATTACTAAACCAAACACGCTGGGGGAAATCGTCAAAATCCATACTCATAGTAGAGTTAATAATATTCATAGTGATAGTATAACCCTACTCTTAGCGTTTTAAAACTTTACTTGGATCAAATCCCGTTACTTACATTCTAAAAAATCCCAACATTCCTGAAAATGTCCGTTTGGATTTGTTTTTGGGCCTGTTTTTGAAAAACTGTTTTTCACAATCCAAATGCTACAGTAAATGTGTATTTCAAAAACAACTCCAAAAACACCATATCCAAACAATATATCAAAAACAACTTCAAATACATATTTAATATGTTTATTTCAATTTGTATATTTCAATTATGTATAGGATATATATATATTATATTAATTTAAATATATTTATTTATACATATTATAAATATTTTATATAAAATATATTTTATATATTTATATGAATATTATATTTATTATAAATATGTTATTAAACATTTATATAAATGTTATATATTATATATATTTAATATATACATAATATATATTATATATATTGAACATTTATATTAATGTACATTTAAACATAATATATATATTTATAACATACATTTATATTATGTATTATATATAATATAATACATTTATATATTTATATTAATATACATAATATTAATTATACATTTAGACATAATATTAATAAATTTATACATTTATATTTATTACATTAATACATTTATACATAATATTATCATATATTTATAATATATAAATTTATACATTTATATAATATTCATTTATAATTTATACACATTTATAATAATATACATTTATAAATGTATTTATATTATGTATTATATATAATATAATACACTTATAATACATTTATATATTTATTTATAAATATAATATATAATAAATAAATATAATACACTTATTTATTTATATATAATATATAAATATATTTATTTATAAATATTTATAATTGTATTATAAATGCATAAATGTATATAAATATAAAAACATAAAAACATAAAAATTATAAATTATAATATTCATTTATAATTTATACACATTTATAATAATATACATTTATATATTTATAAATATATTTATATTATGTATTGTATATAATATAATACACTTATAATGCATTTATATATTTATTTATAAATATAATATATAATAAATAAATAAATATAATACACTTATTTATTGACAGGTTGTCAGCCTGTGCAATAATAAAAAAAACCTACTCAACTAAAAGTAATTTCTGTAGATAGGGGTAAGCAGGGTCGAATCCACAGGGATTGGGAGTAATTGTTTCTTTTCAAATTCACAATAACCAGAGGGGTATTTTTGTGCAGAAGACGACAAACAAAGAAATTCAAATAAAATCTAAGAAACTACTAAAAATTAAATAACAATTTACTAAAATCAAATGAGTGATAATTAAGGATCTAATCAAGGAATAACTTCAACAATGGTTCACCTAATTGATCATTGAAACAAAGGCAATTCCAATTATTTACTAATAAATAGGTTATAACTGTCAAACAAGCGATGACAGTCAACCCCTCCTTACTGTGTCGGTGATTAAGGTACGCCCGTTAATCACTGCTCTAATTAAGAAATAATTCTAGGTACGCCCGTAAAATTTAATTCCCCAATTGCCTTACGTATTAGAAGAGCTCTATTCTAACCAAATAACACACTACCAGGGTTATTTTAGGTTAGCCCGCGTATTCCCCTGATACAAACCCAATCATGCCAGTTATCACTATTTTGAGACAATTAAACAATTACGGATTTAACGTCCCAATTGACAATAGATTATCAAATTAACTAATTATCCGGATCCAAGACAATCAATTAATTAAACAATCATAAGCACTGTAACCAGGGAATATGCGAATACCAATAAATAAAAGAAAAAGATAAAATTAAATCGATTTCACAATTTTAGGCAAGCCAAAGTATCCATTGCTCGTTGACTAGAAAAAGGAATTTAGCTCATTCTGACAAGAGAGACCCACACAAAATTGAGGCAACGCGCGCGGCCATCGCTTTCGTTTGGGAGAACCCAATTCGTTCGAATAAATGAAAGGAAGAGCAAGCCACAACAATTGATTCAATTGTTTCTGATTGTCTAGGCATGCGAGAAGAAAACTACACCAAGATGGCAAATGGAAAAGTCAAAGTGAAACAACTACAGAGATTCATTCAATTCTCCATTTGTTCCTAACATCCACGAGGGAAGAAAGAAAACTACAAAGAGGCCCCACTAAAAATGAAGAAGAAAAGTCAAAAGCTCCCTAAGTTGTGCTTGTCCTCTGCGTCTTCCATTCTTTCTATTCTAAGTCTACTCTAATGCCCGGCCACCGTGCGGCGGCCAATGTTTTAAAAATCGGACCGTTAATTGAACCGGTGAAGTGAAAGGATCAATATTCAATCGATCGGACCGGTTCAATCCCGGTTCAATAAATTTTTTTAAAAATAATTTATATAAATATATATATGCACAAAATAAGACATGTAATGGACTAATTTAATACTTTATATGATGAAAAGTTTACTATTTTTTAATAACTTGGATTTTTAAAAATAAAAATTTTAAATTATAAGTTAAAACAAATAAATTTCATTTTAATTTCAATTATATCTAAATCCAACCCAAAAATATCACAATATTTTGAAATTATGCAAAATTCACGTCTATGAGAATTTAGACATTGTGAACTTAAATTTTAATTTACGCTTTGGGATTTATAGATTGCAATTTAAAAAAGAAAGTTTGGAGTTCGAAGGAAGTCAAGGGAATCGAAAATAAAAATGAAACTTAATAAGAAACAAAAAATGAGATAAAAGTGAGTGGTTGTGACATTAAATAATTTGGATTAAAGAAAAATAATTCTTTTTTAACTTTTTTCAATTTAATGGACAAAAACAAAATTAAAAGATGGAAGAAAACATCAATAAATTAAAAATAAAGAGGTTTGATTAAAAAGGGAGTGACAAAAGAAAAGAGGATAGCGAGAGAGAGAGAGAGAGTTGAAAATTAAAAAGAAAGAGCCATGAGAGGATGAGATTTTGTAAGAAAAATGAAAAAAAGAAATATGAGTATTTGAAATATGAAGAAAAATTTAAAAAAAAAAAAATCAAAATGCGAACTGGAGAAGCCGAGAGTGAGAAACGGAGGAAGTGAAATTGAAATGAAATGTGCCGTCTGCACTTTCTTAATGCTAGGGTTTTTTTATTTAATCTGATTTTATTTTTTAGTTAAGTATAATTCTACACAACAATACCTCATCCTTGGGCTGTGGTGTAGTGGCAGCCGTACCTTTGCGGTTCATACGGGTTTTAGCGGTTCGTCCGGTTCGTAGCGGGTTTCCATTACCATTCGGGTTTGATATTGGACCGGACCGGTAGCATGGCCGGTTCGCGGTCGGACCGGCCGATCCGGTCTGGTTCTGAAAACATTGGCGGCGGCTCCCCCCGAGAGGAAGAAGAAGTTCCAGCCCTTCGTTCCTTTTCCTCTTTTATGCTATCTTCCGCCAAATTACCAAGAAGGGTCGCGGCTTGATATTCCAAAAATGGTCCTGGATGCCTACTATTTGAACTCTTTCCTGATAACTGTCAAATTGGCACTTGTTATGGTATTTTCGTTCTACTCCCTGAAATATATGCCAAATATTAAAAGTGAGTAGAATCCAGTAATTAATCCACATCGGGTCAGGTAATAGGGAAAATTAATAATAAAATAAATGATAAAATTGCAACCTATCAGCACATTTCAAATTGTCATATTGTGTTGCAAAGTTGATAGGGGTTCATAATTTTTTTGGCAAAACTACGTAGTTTTAATAAAGCCAGAAAAAGGCCAAAAGAAGAAAAGAGGAAAAACCGGGCTCTTTGGCTTTCCATTATATCCTTCGTTCTCCCGATGAATTATTCCCTCTCTCTTTCAAACCTATTTCCACCTCCTCCATTTTCCTCGCAATATGGCCAACAAATATGCAGTAACCACCTTCATCTATGAGATACAGAGGAAATCCAGAAGAATAGAAAGATTGATTGCTGATCGGCTGCAGCGCCTGAAGCAAGGGTTTAACGCAAGGAAGATGAAGGACCTCCTCGATTTTCACTCTCAGCAGTTGAAATCGATTCCCAATTGCAGTGTTTCTTCCTTGTTGTATCTCTCTTTGTTCCTCTTCTTCTTTGTCTCTCCAATTCTAAAAACCATCACATTCTCAAAGGAATATGGTAAAAATTGTACCTAGCGATAGTTTTATCTCAATTTTGTGTTTGATTCTTAGGTTTAATAGCTCCTAGCATGATTTTGACAAGTTAAATTTGTTTTCAATTTTAGGTTATTTTGCCAAAAGTGATTAAATTGGCTTTCACTAGCTGGATTTGCTTCAATTAATTTTGATCATCGGTGAAGTAATTAATAGCTTTGAGAGAACTTACCCAACAATTTTGCGAGCTATTCTGGTTCAAAAGCAAGGTAATTAAGCTCAATTCCTTTTGCAATTTTTTTCACTTTACTCATTTGTTTTATGGTATAATCAGAGAATTTATTACATGCCCTTAGTGCTTGGGAGTTTATAGACTTTTATGGTTATTTTTATGTAATTTTTGCAATTCTTTAGAATATTTATAATGTGACTTAATGGTGTTTTAGCTTCAAAAGTTGGACTGCACTGCATTTTAATCTCCAATTTTGTGATTTATCTATTTTTCTAGTTGTCAAAGGAAAATGTTTTTTTTATTCAAATAGTGGATAGAAATATGTAGGAGTTGATACTCTACATTTTATGTTTAGTTTCATAGTAATTGAGTAACTTTTTTCGTGTTGAATTTTGGTACACTCAATTTTAGGTGGACAAACGCATTCTAGTTCAAGTTTTAAAACTCTTTTTTTTTTTTTAAAGTTTCTTCTCTTGAGACCTCTTCTAGCATCCAAATTATGATTATGAAAAATAATTAATGTTTAATTTGTATATATTGCTGTTGAAATGGAAGGGTTCTAATTGTCCTGTATTTTCTGGTTCTGATTTTCTGTGTTAAAAATTTTATGATTTTTGGTCTTGCACAGAATTTGGCAGATGTGAAGGGACTGGATTAGGAGAAAGAAGAAAGTTCTACAACATTTGATTCTCAACTTTACAGATGGAAAATATGTTCAAGATATGAGTCAATTATGAGATTGGAATTCTTTTTCAAGTCCTTTTTTCTACTCTTTCATGAACTTACCTGCTTTTCTATGCTTGATTCGAATAATAGCTATGAGTCCCTGGAAAAGCTGTAGCGCCGAAAAATACCAGAGATAATTTTTCCATTATTATTTGCTGCTGTCCTTACTTTAAATTATGCGACGCTAGGCCACGGGAATCAGGTCTCCCCTTATTCATAATTCTTTTCTTGTAAGAGTTAAAAAATGGCAATCAGCTACTCCATACATACAGGCTTCTTGATCAAATGTTCATGCTTTCTTTGTCTCTATCAGATGTCTTCAACATTTGAGTAGGCTTGATCTTGGGGATCTTGAAAGAATTGGCTACAGTTGTTATTGTTTAGTTATCTTTCAAGTTTTAGGTGAAATTAGTTTAATTTAAAACTAGGCATCCTAAGCTTTCTTTTGGTGGGCCACTTGCTGCGAGTGGAGCTAAAATGAGTGAGATATAAGGTTCTTGATGTTAGGTAACGTCTTATCCTGGTTCTATTATAGGAATAGTTAAATGAAATGATATTGTGTATACATGCAATGATAATCTATTGCATTTGTTTCATGCTTAGCTTTAGCTTCAGAGATTAAATGCTTGGAATGGTAAGAATCACCCAAGTAATAGTACATGTCCTCTTTCTATGAGAATGCTTTCGATTTTGTATGTAAATAATTATTTTGGCCTTCAGCACAATTTTGTGTGTGGTCCAAGTACGTGCTAACATTCCTTTTCAATGATTTCCTTCAAAATCTGCTCTGGCAGGCCATTTATAATCTGTTAACAATATAATTTATCATCGCCATATGTTGTTATGCTTAGTATCTTCACTGTCTGTAGTTGTTCTTGTAGTTTTTTAAGCTCTGCCTTTTGTATTAAGGCATCTACTATGCATTAAAAAATGGAAGTAACGTTTGAAATTCTCTGTTGACTGCAGAGGCAGCAAAGCTAGTTACTCTTCCAAGTAAAGTGGAATGCTTGAATGGATTGAATGGAGTTTCCATTAAGATTGTCTCTTTGGGTTTTGAGCACTCAGTTGCTGTTATAGGTTTATATCTGTATTTCAAGTGTGTGGCAAATACAGTATTATCTAAACACTGGCAGTCTTTAATAGCAAGCATATTTTTTTCCTTTGTCTTTCTTGTTATGATTCTATGCTTTATTGACCACTGGTTTGCTGTTAATGTTTAGATAAAAGGGAGGCCTTGAGTTGGGGTGGAGGAGCATCTGGAAAACTTGGACATGGTCATGGATCCAGCATATTGGAATTTTGAAAAAGTAGCAGGTTCTTTTATGTGGTTAAGCATGCTTTTTTGTTCACAGAATGAATTTTCTGGATAATTGTCTTGGAAGTTTAAACTGTTATTTTTTTCTCTCTCTCTTACTTGACTGTCTTGTGAGATGGCTTTTTACTTTTAAGTAGAAACAAATGTAGGTTTTGGGATAACTGATCTCAATAATGATTGATAACTATGCCTATATGTTCACATTTGCCTCATTTCAGTGTTTAGAAGGGAATGACATGAATGGTTGACATGGGAAGGGTGAGATATGATAGAATAAGAAAACCTCTTCAAGCTATAAACATTTTTGTCAAAATATCATAGGTGATTAGCAGATTCACCACCTAAAAGTTTCATACATCTTTATCACCTAGTATTGTTATTCCTCAATATGCCTTGTTAAAATATGCTTTCACCCTTGAAGAATTTTGAGATGGCTGCAGCAACAGAAGCTATTAGCTTGATTATATTGGGTTTTCTTTTATGCAGTGAATTCACTCCATGACTGATTAAGGATCTGGAGGGAGTGAAGGTAGTGTATATGTCTAGTTTTGTACAAGTGTCTGTTTAGTTTCTCAAGATCACGCTCACCGTGAGTTGGTCAAGGTATTAATTCTTTGATCCTTGTCACTCTGTTTCTGGAGAATATATAGGTTACAAGTGTTGCTGCTGGGATTTTGCATTCTGCCTGCATTGATGGTAAACTATTGACCTCTTGGAGATGGTTTATGATTACAAACTCTGAAGATTGGAATTAAACTTTTTTGGACAGCTTTTTCATTCCTGGGGTATTGCAGAAAATGGCTTTGTATAAATTTTTCGGGAAACAGCGAAGGCAAAGATGGTAAGACTTGGATTGCCACAAGAAAATTAATGTACATCTTTGTTTCCTTTATTTTTTTCCCTAAACAAAAGCTGCATTTTTTCTTCCAACTTTTGAATCTGGTGCTGTTTGATTTAGCATAGTTTGTTATATGTTGCATTTTTTTTCGGAGAATGTGTTATGTGTGGAATTAAGGCTCTAGGATTATAACAGAATGGAAATGTAAATCAAACAGACTGTATTTTTATTGATAGTCATTTGTACTCAAGAGTTAGAGATTAGGCGGAATTTTTGGTTGATTATCAAAGTTATTATTGGAAAAGTTCTCCTTTTTCTTTTTTCACTAACCAAAAGAGATTGCTTCACTTTCATTAATGGTTTTAGATATATGTGCTGACTTCTTACAATGTAATCACTGAAGTATATGTGTTCTGAACTTTTGCGGGAATCGTCCATGATCTGATTGCAAAGTGTGGAGTACAATGGTATAAGCTAGATCATGCTTTAGCTGCCAATTAAATCAGCTGACAAAATTAGCTAGTGCCTATGTGTATTGATGAAACCCTGATACTGTGATATGATGTTTACTTTGACATGTATTATAACTAATTTTTAGTTCTTTGGCTGCCATTAAGATATCAAACTCTATGTCAGGTCAAACTGCACGATATTAATGGAATATCAATTGTTGATTGTTTGCTGCAAATCAAAGATAGTCCAGCCCTATCCTGTTTTCATAGCTTGATAACTATTTTAGCCTGGGACTTGGAGGATTTTGATGTGGAACAAGCTAAATCATGCCATGCTTAGAGGATTTTGGAGGATATTTATGTGATTCTAGTTGGTATACTGCTTATATATCTGACAGAAATAATTCATAGAACCATTTGAGGCTAACATATGCTATAGGACTGCATGTTTTAGAAGAAAAGCTGCTCTGTGGCCGAAGGAACTTTGTTTTCTTCAATATTCAACAGTATTAGTAGCTGTCTCTTCTTAGCTGAATTAAATCTCTGCCGGAAGTCTTAGTTAATAGTGCTTACTCTTCATATATTTATATGGCTAGTTTAACTTGTCTTCATGCGAGTCAGCATGTTGAAGTCAGAATATGTTGCAGCTTATGAGAAAAATGTCGAGCTGAAAAAGTTGTTTCCATTACACTTGTATCATTACAAGTACTATCTCATTTCCATATTCTTGCAATTTTATATTTCTAGTCATGGGCACTAATATGATGCAAGCTGTTTTACTAGGGCATAATTGGGAAGGACTTAATTATGATGCATGCTGCTTCAAAATGTATTTGAAGACATTTCATGAACAAACCATTAACAAAATGTTTACTTATACAGAAGGGATATCATAATATTTAAACGTCATGTTGGTTTTTTAGTCATTTAGACCAATGGAAAGTTAATAGTGGCATGCCTGAAACTTATTTTGGAGTTCCAAAATCATTAGTCGTTCCAAAATCATTAGCCTTCATTTTATTAAAGTTCAAGGTTGTATTAGTATCTTACATGACCATATTTTTTGTGTTATTTTAGGATTTTGAGATGTGAAGATACTTTTGAGAGATGTATGATGAATTTGTGCTTTCCAAGACAAGTACTTCTTGGGAAATATGAAACATCTTGTCATTGAAGTAGACTATTATACAAGAAAGTTCATCATGTTTTTGTCAAAAAATGATATGTGATAAAGTTTGTAGAATTTGACTGAAGTAGTGTATGATACTTTATCCTGGCGTATCGTGGAACTTTAATTTTGTTTTGATATTCAATTTTAGTATATTTGTTATGATGTTCAATTTTAGTATGTTTGAGTAGATTAAATGTGAGCAAATTATCTGGATGACCACCAAACTTTTGGAATCATTGAATTTTGATCATTGAATTATTAAAAGTCTGGTTTTGGTCACTGAACTATCTAAAATTTAGATTTTGGGTCATTCCGTTAGATTTAATCGTTAAATATGATAAATTTGAGTACTTGCACGATTCATGAGACAAGAAAACAGGGCATAGTTAATGATTAAATCTGATGGAACGGCCCAGAATCTAAACTTTAGATAGTTCAGTGGGCCAAATCAAACTTTTAATAGTTTAGTAGCCAAAACTTGACGATTCCAAAAATTCAGTGACTATGCAGATAATTTGCTCATTAAATATTGTGCATCAAAATTTCTGGCCTTTATTAGTGACATTTTTGCGACAATTTTATGTCGCAATAACATTACTGGAATTTTTTGCAGTGCATTTTTGTGCCGCAAGTAGAGTTGTGACACTCAAACTAGCATCACAAAAAGCGATGCAAATACATGCGCCACATCGCAATGCAAATACATGCGGCACATCAAAAACTTACGTTGTTTTCTTTTGTAGCGGCTACTTTTGTGACACATTTGCATTCTGTCGCTTTTGTGCCGCAAAAAGGTTTTTACGGTGCTTTTTGACTTTTTGCGGCATAATTCTGGCGTCGCAAAAAGACAATTTTCTTGTAGTGAATTAACCTTCAAGATAGGTGGCAGAGGACCGTAAGTTGCATACAGTATAAGATATGACTTTCAAGTTATGTGTCTTTAAAATCTTTCATGAAGCTAAAACAATTGTGATTATGTTTACTTTTATTCCTTTGTATGATTCGAAGGGAAATGAAGACAGCCCATTTTTTTAAACCGTACTAGGACAGAAAATTACACTAGATTAAGAATTTGAGCAAATTTATGTATGTGGTGTAGTATAATCATTGGCGTGGGCAGTGATTATATGGCCAAGAGATGTATCCCAAGTATTTTGATTGCAGAAATGAAAGACATGTATGTTCTGATTTTCAGCTTTACTCAAAATGCTTTATCTCTGTTTGTTGCGAGAGAGGCATTGTGAAGGATGAAGGATCATAATTTTCTCTTACTTTTAATTGTCAAAGCCTTTAACTGATGCAACACTGTATGGACATCGAGATATATGCAGGATCCTGGAAGTCAATAGAGGCAAGGACTCGACCAATGATCATTCCATGGTAATAATGATAAATTTGCTTTAGTCTTTTTTGAGGGTTTGATAAATAAATTTCGATTCAAGGCTACATGTGTTTTTACTAATGCTTTTTTCAGATTAAAAAGTTATCGATCTCTCCATCAAGCAAAAACTTAAAGAGAGTTTTTAGACTAGGAATAGTTGACTTTAACCACATGGGATATTAACAGCCGTACTAAGTATTTTTTGGAGTCCTATAATTGATTCACATTATATACTATGGTAATATTTCTGTAACATATAATGCAGACGATCCGCCGTGAAGAAGATTCATATGAGGTGAATATTGACTTGTCTGAACTGAATTTGCAGCATTCATCAATGATTGAACAGGTAAAGAGTATGAGCAGCAACCCATCCTAGCTTACTGAGCTCCAAATTTGCAATGAATTATCTGATAAATGGGCTTTGATTTCAATATCTATTTACTGACTTAGTTCTACATATACATCTTCTGTATCGGTATTATTGAGTGCATGTCTTTGCCCAAGAGTTGGTAATCTTACGCCTGTCGATAATTTTTTTGTTTAACATATTTTTTGACATTATTTGCAATTTTTAGAATATTAGATGCTTTAAAATTTGCGTCTCACTGAGACCGTGACCGATATGTCGAAACCGATGTAGAACGGTCCGGGTCACGATCGCGACTGCAACTTTGAACCATGGTTGTTGCGGCTTTGACTGACAATGGAAATCTTCCTGCTTATAGAACTTTCACATACGATCGCGACTACAACTTTGAACCATGTTTGTTGCGGCTTTGACTGACAATGGAAATCCTCCTGCTTATAGAGCTTTCACATACAAAGAGTTCTGTAGCACATTCTTTGGGAAAGCTGGTTGCAATGCTCCAAATGCTCTAGGATGCTTCAAGAATACACCAGAATGACGAGAAATTTCCAATTTTGTGATGAATTTTAAAAAAATTCTACAAAAGGGGTGATTTTGGTGGGATATTCCGTAGGAGGGTTTTCGCATTCCGCGAATGCGAGCTCTACTTATTGAGTACAGCTCTATTGAGCTCGCATTCCGCGAATGCGAGCTTAAGTATAATTTAAATTTTTTTGCTTTTTTTTTGGGAGCTAGAGAATTTTTTCCAGAAAATAGTAAGAGCTAAATGCGAGCTCCTAAATGTTTTTTTAAAAAATTCTTCAAATAGTTCGCATTTGATAAATTTGACCTCCAAAAATGGTATTTAATTTTTTTGTTAGATTTCGCATTTATAAGTATGACTTTCAGAAAATTAAATTCAAACTTGCTAGAAAAAAAAATTTTAAATGAAATTTACGAGCTCCCAAAAAAATGTAAAATTAACTATAAATGTTGTTTGTTTTGTAGAATTTGCCTTTAATAAAATGCTATCGGTAGTAAAATCTTATTTTAAAAGCTCTACTAAAATCTTATATTTCGGAGAAATGTTAGAGAAATGTTATTTAAAAATCTGTAATTAGCAGAGGAATAATTTTTTTTTATTTTAAAACTTGCACGTGCCTAAAGTCATCAAATATGTGCTCTAAAAAAATCATATTTCTTTTATATTAAAAAAAAATTGGTAATTGTACGGTTATTATAATACATTTAAATGGTGGAAAAAGTACACATGCATAGTTCTTTCTATCTATTTCATATATCAATGTAAAAATAGAATGAAATTGTTAACATGTAAGGTGTTGACTATATTTTATGAAAAAAATAATAACTTTTTTTCCTTTTTTATGAAATAAATTTTTTTTATCAAATTCTAATTTTCCTTTGTTATTAATGAATCGTATTTATTTGTTGACACCGATGAATATTAGTTATAAGAATGTAATAGTTAATAGTCATTAATATCTGTTACAATTTTAACTGTAATTTTAGAAATTTCATAACGCAATGTTATTTTAAAAAATCATATAAGTTATTTTTATGAAGTGCATGTTATTTGTTTGGTAGTTGAAAAGGAAAAGAAAAAGAAATTTCACGGAAAGCTCACTGCAGTGACCTCGCATTCCCGGAATGCGAACACCCCATTTGTAGAAAAATCTACAAAAATCGCTCCAGTTGTAGAATGACTTTTTTTTTTCATCATAAACTAAGAATTCACCCCCAGAATGACCATGGCGTTTGTATGAAAAGATTGGGTGACATGAAATACTGCCAATCATAGTTATGTTTTCCTGAGTATGTAAAATTGGACTGACAGAAAAATTTTATGTAAATTATAGGTCTGATGTAAAATATGCATGTTTTCAAGTAAATGTTCTAAAGGTCAATCTTGCTTAGTTAATTTCTTCCGTACCAATGTTGAACAAGTCATGAAGTTTACTTGAATCAATGTATTACCATAAGAAAGGTAAATTTGTGTCGGTATATAAGAACGGTAATATACATATGATTGAACCCACGATAAGCACACCCAAGAGAGGGGTTGAGGCACTACAAAATTCTAACATTATTAGTGAACTAGATATACCTTAATTAGCATTATCAATTTAAACTTTTGCAAACAAGAACCCATTACCATAAATTACTTGCAAGAACTTCACTAGAAATGAAACAAAACAAGTAAAGATGAAAACATCATAAACAAAGACATTAGAAGGAATATGGTGTGGCAATGGCATGCAGAGGAAGTTTTCTGTGGATCGTGACACCAGGTGCTTCAGTCATATCCAAATCGTTTGGTTTGATTCCATCAGGTAATGTAAAGTTAAATTTGTTGACCAGTTTTGCCAATGCAAGTTCATTTACTGATATGGCAAAGTAGATACCCGGGCAAATTCTTCGTCCAGCACCAAACGGAATTAACTCAAAATTCAAACCACGAAAGTCTAAACTGGAATCCAAAAACCTCTCAGGTCGAAACTCCTCAGGGTTCTCCCATAACATGGGATCTCTTGCAATTGCCCAAGCATTCACAAATACTTGTGTGCTCTTTGGTATATCATACCCCATTACTTTGACGTCTCGAATTGATTCTCGAGGAACCAATAATGGAACTGGAGTATGAAGTCGTAGAGTTTCTTTAATCACTGCTTTTAAGTACTGCATTTTCTCCATATCATCTCGAGTTATTTCTGGTTTTCCTTGAGTCACTTCTCTTACCTCCGCCTGCAATTTCTGCAAGATTTCAGGATTCTTTAGAAGTTCTGACATTCCCCATTCCATAACTGAATGTGTTGTATCAGTTCCAGCACCAAAGACGTCCTAAATAATGGAATCAAAGAAAGTGTTGGATTAAAACATGTTTCGATTACACAATGACAATAAGCCATTATTTCTATTATGTACCAATCCAACCCTATTCAAAACCATGTAGTAAACAGTTGATGGGTTCAAACATATATATGAATATTTAAATAAGTTGAGCTCAGATTTGTCGAAGCTTGACTGACAAAACCAGTTAACGCTCCCGCTTACAACCTTCAAGACTCTTGAAGGTTATGAGTCGTACGACTACGGGTGTCAATTGGCCTTTATCAGTCGGGGTTTGATAAGGTTAAACTCAAGGGATAATTTCAGAAACCTCCCCTGACTTTTTTGAGAATTTCACTAGCTTTTCTTGAAGTTTGTAAAATTACACAAATCTTTTCCGTGGTTAAGGTTTTGATAACACAATTAGTCCAACTAGAAAAAGTAACATTACAAAAGTACTTTAAGGAGAGGGATGAAACTTTTATTTTATAAATACCCCTTATGCATGTATATAAGTTGTATTAGTAAAAGAATAAAAGTTAAAAATAATTAATACACACATTTCACCACTCAAAAAGTTCACATTTAATAAATTAAACAACACAAAAAAACAATAATAATGATCACAAGATTTAACAAAATAGACTAGTCATTTCTTTTGACTTGATGTTTGCTATGATTCTTATGATTTTCAATAGAAAAATTTTTCAAATTTTTCATTTCTTTTCCCTCCATTCTCCTTTATTAATATCTAATGATTAAATAATTAGAGCACTAATTAACTATTAATGACTAATTAATGAAAATAACAGTTTAAAATTTCTTTAATAATAAATGATGACTTGTATTTATAAAATAACATCAATTGATATACCTAATGCAGGAAGGAGGGAAAAGAAAGGCAAATTTGAAAATTTTTAATATTATAACAATTATTGCAAATATCATGTCGAAAGAGATGACTATTCTGTTTTGTTGAATCTTGTGATCATTAGTGTAGTTTTGTTCATTATTTGTATTGTCTAATTTATTAAATGTGAACTTTTTGAGTGGTGAAATATATGTATTAATTGTTTCTAACTTTTAATTGTTATTATTCTTTTACTAATACAACTTATACACATGCATAAGGGGTATTTATGGAATAAAAGCTTCATCTCTCTCCTTAAAGTACTTTTTGAATGTTATTTTTTCTAATTGGACTAATTTTGTTATCAAATCTTAACCTTAGGGGAGATTTGTGTAATTTTACAAACTTCAAAGGAGGCGAGTGAAATTGTCAAAAATCTCAAGAGAGGTTTCTGAAATTTTCCCTAACCTCAATGCACTTATATATTTATACGTTTCAGTGATCAAGACAGGTAAAAGATTTAGAATTTGGTGCAAGTTCGATTGTGATTTATGTGTGGTACAGTTGTCAGTTTCTTACATTATTTGATTTATACTAATGTAGCTTACATAAATATCACTCGTGTACACCAATTCAGTGATATAATTTTATACCAAGTTTAAAAAAATAAAAATAAAAGCACCGTACATAACCACACTAACATCAACCATACTTGCCTCAATCCCCAAGATTTTACTACCAATATAAATAGATGGAGAGTGAATTTTACCAGGATGATAGCTTTCATAGCATCTCGGTCAAGCGCAAAGCCGATGGTGTTTGCCCTTTTAATCTCAATCATGATATCCACAAAGTCTTGGCATCTTGCCTCAGAAGTATAGTCACTTTCAGCCTCACCTTTCCTCTTATTAATGTGCTCTTCTATCACGCCCTCAAGAAATCCATCGATCTGTTTAACCGCTTTCTCCACTTTAGAGTCCAAACCATTGAAGCGATTAACCCACGCAAGCCAAGGAATATAGTTTCCTACATCAAAACAACCTAGTAACTCAACAAATATCCTCAGATACTCCATACTTTTCCTTCCATTTTCTTCCTCACTATACTTCCTCCCCAAGGCAACCCTGCAGATTATATCGTTTGTGAGAGTTAAAAACATGTCACTTAAGTTTACAGGTGAGGAGGAACACGTTTGGCTGATCTTCTCGATCATGTGTGACGTCTCTTCTTCTCTGACATGTTGAGATGACTGAAGCCTTTTGTTACTCAAAAGATGAAGCACAGAAATACTTTTCACTTGTCTCCAATACTCACCATATGGCGAAAAAGCTATGTCCTTGCTTCCGTACAAAAGTCTATGTGCGATGCTCGATTTAGGCCTGTTTGCAAAGAATAAATCATGGGTTTTCATGATCTGGCAAGCTGCATCAGAGGAAGAGGCAACCAGCGCTGCCTTGCTTCCCAGACGAAGTAGCATGAGCGGACCATATTTTCTTGACAATAATTGGAGGGAGCGGTGTGGAAACAGGCCAAGTTGGTGAAGATTGCCAATAATTGGGAGCTTTGGTGGAGATGGTGGTAGCTTTTTCTGGGGTTTATAAGCAACAAAAAACCATTTGAGAAGGGATAGAAGGAATATAAGCAAGGAAAAATTTGAGAAGAATGAAAGATCAAGATTGATCAGAGCCATGTGCTATATGATCATGAATTTGACTAGTAATGGTGTTCTTTTCTTATACTGCGTTTTTAAGCTCTTTTGACCATAGAAATTCCAATAGATCGGGACCACAAAGTAAATGTGCATTTTGCAGCGGGGATGATTAAATCAATACATGATACAGGATAACCTAGTACAACTGCGACCGTTGAAGGTCCTAGGTTCATTCATTTTTTGGGCTGTGATATTTATATTTTTATTTTTACCAACTAATCTGTTTGTGCCAATAGTTTTTTTTTTTTTAAGTGGCAAACCCCGTAAATGGGGATGGGATATCAGCCCAACTTTTATTAAAAGAAATAAAAAATACATAGCGAGGGACCACACCTTACCTCCAGCCTATGAGACCGATTAGACAAAGCTACCATCCGTGTCTAACCCTACGAAAACTAGGACAACCCCACCTATCTAAAGTAACATCTCCTCTAACTATGCGGGGAAGGGCAAGGAAGGAATCATAAACTAATGACTCCCCAGATTCAGCCCCAACCTTAGAAAGTCTATCCGCAGGTTTATTCGCCTCTCGAAAGCAGTGTGAGATCTCTCTGTAGTGATGGCTATACTACGACAATTCTTGTAACTCCCGCTGCACCACCCATGGACACTTAGCTCTCCCCTAGATAATGTGGATAAGAACTAAGGAGTCAGACTCCAAATGTAAATTGGCCAGTCCCCGAGCTACTCCTAACCGCACCCCATGGAGTAACACCTTCATTTCCGCTTGTAAACTAGTCATCTCCCCAAAATAACAAGAAAAAGCTAACAGGAGCCTCCCATCACTATCTCGGAACAGACCTCCCCCTCCACTCCTCCCAGGATAAACCCTTGAACAACCATCTGAGTTTAACTTCACCACTGCTTGGAAAGGACATCTCCATCTAACCGTCAACACATTTACAGACATTCTCAACCCAGCTACCGCATCCAGGAGAGCAGGCCACGACCTAGGTATACTAACCTCCTGAACTGAGCGCCAAAACTCTCGTGAAGCTCATTAACAATTCGACCACAAACTTGTGTCACAGTCGCCACCCTCCCTTCAAAGACAAATTTATTTCTCGTTTTCCATAAGTTCCAACAAATCAAGGCGGGCAGAATTCGAAACAAGAATCGAATATACGAAGTTCGACCAGATTTCAACCACCAATTAATCACCTTATGCCTTATCGTGAAAGCTACCCCAAACCCTCCAATCGTCACTTCAAAGAAACCCCAGACCTACCTAGCAAACTCACCCGTGCAAAAGATATGGTTAATAGTTTCTTGAGAAGAATGCCAACAACAAAAACAACGAGACGGGCCGAATACTCCAAATTTATGCAGTACATCCATAACCGGCAGCCGACCATTCATCAATCGTACCATAAAAAAGGAAATTTTCAAAGGTAAGACCCGATGCCATAAAAAGGAGAAGAGTCTAGAACTATTACTGTGGCGACCCCACTTCCCCCTAAGGCGAACCAAAGGGTTGGCGGGCCGTCTGCCCAGCTCTCGCCAGGACTCACGCAAGCATTCTAACCCAAATCCTTTCGAAGAGTATCCTAATCTATTACAAAACAATTCTCCCGAAATAAATCGATTTCTATCACCACATTAACTTCAAAGATAACAGCATACAACTTAGCCAATAGACGGCTCTTAAACACTTCACGCGTCGCTCGCAAGGATTAAAGACATACTATACCAATACAAACATACCTACCGAATATTAGAATTAGGGATTACACTTTTCCAGCTTCAAGTGACAGTCCAAAACGAAAGGTACAATGCTTAGCTTAGAAGTCATTACAAACCGAAAATTAAATTCAAGGTGTTCAAGTACATTCATTGGAAATATAAGCTGCTCAAATACTTTCAAACTTCCCATCCTGTAAGGAAAACAAATAAACGTGGGGTGAGCTAAAGCTCAGTGGTGCCCCAAAACATGCAGTCACGTAAATCAAACAGCAAGCAATAACTTAAACAAATTGAACAGTTAGGAAAGCGTATAACAGCACAAGGTAGGATACAGGGGCTCTCAGGAGCCATTTTCCTCGCTTGATCACCATTCAGCGTAGTTGACCCTCCGTCAACTCTCACTACTTATAGTCCATGTAGATCATCTTATTTTGATACCTAACCCGTCACCATTCATACCCCGGTCCCGGGCCCGCTCACCGACTAAGGACGTAGTACACTCGAGATATACCCGTCATGGTAGTTGGATACAGAAGTCGAGGGATTCACCCAACGACGCAACTACATTTAGATTTGTGGTAGTTAGATTCATGCGTCGAGGGATTCACCCAACGACGTAACTACGTTTAGAATCAAGGATTCAGGAGAAAAATGTTTTTGCACAAGTCACCACTCGAACGGCTAGTGCGATAAAGTACACACAGCTCACTTCGATGGATCAAAAACCAGTTTTGCAAATTATCACATATCAAGTCAAGAAAGTACTTTAAACAGGTAAGCGTAGAACAGGCAGGGACACTCACCAAGAGTGAAGTTCAGATATCAAGTTGGGAATCGAATTCCGCGTCCTCGCAAAACCCTAAAAACCAAAATTTGAAACTATGAGTTTTTACTCAGTTTTTAAGCTTATAGATATTGAGGTATATCTAATATACTACTAGTTCACTTTCCCTTAGAAAAATCAAGAATTTCCATAGGTTGAATCTTGACGAAAGTAGAAGAATTGTTTCCTTTAGTTTTCCTTGGAATACTTTTCTTATAAAAGGTAACTAGTATTATTTTCTTGAAATAAATCAACAAATCTCTTAATATCCACGTTAGGAAGTTACTTTGAACATTTCTTTAAAGCTATGGTTTTTGCAAAAATTATTACTAAAACTATTTTACCTAAAAATAAGGTTTCTTGCCGAGCAAGTTCCTATGCTTTTAACTAAAATTATTAAAACTCGTATTTTGGCACTTTTCCTATAGTTAACTAGCCAAGGACAATTCTTAGAGAAAAGAAAAGGAGTAAAACAAGGCTAGAGTTTTAGAAACTAGGAAAATCATTTTCCAAAGGTAATAAGGCTAGTTTGAGCTAAAGGAAATTATCGGTTTGGAAAGTTTTAGGCGAAACACTAAATATTGAGTTTATAGTCTAATACTAGCTGGAAAATATTTTTTTTTTTGATTAATTTGATCACAGTTGCTCGAGTTCGCATGGTCGATACAATTTCCACAACTCCGATCCCGTTTCGAAATCACATTATGGATCAAAATATGGCAAAAATCACATAGCAAATTACTAGGGTTTCGTCAATCATTAGCCCTAGATTTCAACAAATACATTTCTGATAAAAATAAAATGAATGACCAAGGCTTCATCAATCATTAGCACTTGGTTTCAGCAAGCCCATCATAAGCAAATAAAAATAAAAGTAAAGCCTCCAAGACATTCCAGCAATTAACTTTCATCACCCTGTAGTACTTATAAAATCATTCAAATGGCCAAGAGCTTCATCAATCATTAGCCCTTGACAACATCAATTACTTCCAACCACAATTCAATCAAGAATTTAAACCACAAGTAAGCTATAAGTTCAATCCAAATCAAAATTTAGTTTCACGAAGAAAACAGGACATTCATACCAAAACAGTCTACTTCAAAGATTCCCAGACAGCAGTACACATGGAGGAAAAATAGGAAATTTCTACAGGACAAAGGCCTATGACTCTAGTTTCAAATGCCACTGACGGCACCTTAATCGGATTTTCCTACACCAAGATATAAGCATTTTGTTGAGACTGGACAGTGAAAATCGAAAATCTGGAAACTCATTTTTCAATTGTGAAAAACTCCTTTTTCTCTTTTAAAACCATAAAACTTTTATTCAAACCATCCATACATCTAAGTATGACATTCATACCAGCATCTACCAAGGCAAATAATGCTTAATTCCAGTAAATGGTTCAGCCAAGAAATCATATACATACTAATCTGTCATCAGCTATGTATAACAGTCATCAATTGACAATTTCAACGTACGATTACTTCCTTAATTTCCCTTTTTATTAACACTAAATTGACATGCCGAGAATGGTTATTAAGCTATAGAGTATCTTTAGCAGTGTTATATAAAGTTTACGGTCAAGGAAGTCAAAGGCAAAGTTGGTCCAGGTTCTAATCCTCTCCCTCGGCCATGTTTTCAACTCTAACAAAAAAACCAGTTTTTAAAACACAACTTTTCTCCCATAATCCCTTCATTTTAAGTACAAGTCTTTCATGCATGAAGAAATCAAGGCATTATACAATATTTTACAGTTTAGTTCAGAATTTTAGAACCAAAATTCGCAAAAGAAAACTGAAAAATTCTTTTATTCTTCACTCGACTACACTGGAAAAATTCCAGCAGCTTAGTCCATCTTTAAACCGAATTTTCCCCGGCTGAAACACAAAATTATGTACCCAAAACTAACATGCAAGACTAATAAATGAAGTCACTATCAACTCCAGTTCAAAACAGGGTCGGTCACCAACAAAATGTACCCAAAATTCCAGAATTTGTTCAACTAGTTATGGATGACATGCATGCAGCAGCTTTTTGGTTTCATTCAAATCTCTGGTTTACACACAGCTAATTAATCCCATGCAGGGCTTAATCATCCAGTATTTAGTTAGCTAAACACACAACCAAGTGAGGATCAAACGCTTTCCAGTAGATTTCATACTAAAATACCATACAATTCTCAAAACAGCTCCATCGGCTAAGCTGGAAAAATTGGTTCAGCAGTCCAACAATTTTCAAATAAAAATTTCCAGCCAAACAACCGAATTTCTGGCCATACAATTCACATGTAACACCAAATAACGGCTATCTATCTGATTGAATCCAAGACCAAGTTCAAATATCATCCAAATCACCATTTAACCAGAAATTCATCCCAATTCTCTTGATTGACATGCATGCAACCAGTTTTTTTTTTTATTCCTTCAATTTTCTTGCTTAATCCAAGTTAATTAGCTTCATACAAAGCTTGATCATCCAGACTCTGGTTAGTTAAACACACATATAACTCAGATCATCAAAACTTGGTCAACCAAAGCTGCAAATTTCCAGCTTAAGCTCTCGGCAACCATAGTTCCTTCAACATCAGATTTTTTTTTTGTGACTTAAACTATCATCTAGCTGCACCACCTTCACATGCATGCCTCTAATCAGCTTCATCAACCCATAATCAACCAATTTAAGTCCAGAAAATTACCTCAGCTTAAGACTTAGCTCACCCGACAATCAGCTGCAACATTTTCTTCCTCTCGGCTATCCAGAAATTGCAGCCCGTCCACTCCTCCTCTCTCTTGTCCAAGCTTGCGACTGGGATGGTGAATGTTTAGCCCTCAGTCCTCTTCACTAACTCACGGTTGGAATGGATATAGAATAGCAGGTTTCACTTTTTTTCTCTCTCTAGCTCACGAACAGAAAAACAAAGCAAAGTGTTCGGCTCTCCCTCACTTTCACTCTTGGCTTGCAGAGTGCAGCTCTCTCTCTCTCTTGGTCGATGATACCAAGGCAGAAGGTGAAGTGAAATGGAATGATGTTGTGGAATGTTGAGGCTGGAAACTTGATTGCAGCTGGTAGAAATGGAAGTGCAGAATGGTGAAGCTCGCTCACGGTTTCTCTCTGTCTTCCTTCAACTCACGGACGGACCCAGAAAATTTTTTTGCAGCTTGCGGATCCTTTTCTTCCCTCTCGGACGCACGGTTGCCGCTCACTCTCACATTCTCTGTCGATGATCACGAGGCAGAGGCTGGAGAGGGAGTGTTTGGTTGCGGACTGGGGTGGGTTGGTGCAGAGAGGAAATGGAAATGGTGGTTTGTGATATAGAGGGATGGTGCCGTGGTTTTGGAGAAGGAAGAAAGAATGGTTTACGGTTTTGGTGCAGAGGTTGCGTGTGTACGAATCGGTTGCGTATCGAATCGGAGAAAATGTGATTGGCCGATAGTTGCGGTGATTAAAATTGTTGTCAGAGGTTTCGTTTGGTTTGCATGGAAATGTAAGGGCATTTTAATCTTTTCACTTTGCTCCCTAACCTCAACTTAATTTCTCAAATCCAACTTAATTCTAAAAATTATCCCCAAGTGTGATTTGAACGCCTAATTATACCCTAATATACCTAAACCATCTTTATCGAATAATTCTCGATTAAACTTTAATATTAAGGTTCCTAGTAATTCCTATATTATTTAGCGATTAAATTAGTTATTAGAATTTCCAATTATTATTTCTCAAGAAGTGGAGTTAGTCTAACTCGAAATTTATCGATTTAGTAATATAAAGTCAAGTGAAATAATAATTAAATCCAAGGTTGTCAATTTGCACATAAAAAGTTATTTTTACGCACTTATTGTGAAAACAAAGAAGGATAAGACTATAATTATCGAAATTTTCAAACCTTAAGTATGTTTAGTATATTAGTATCATATTTATCTAAAATTCATTGGTTTTCATCTTAACGCGGAAATTCCTATTAACATTTAACATTATTAACGATTAAAACTAGTTATCGGAAATCAAAGAATTTATTTTAAAGTAATAGAATTAATCCAACTCAAGAAATATTAATTTAGTATGGCAAACCGAATAATTCAATATTGGCACAATTATATTATTTATTACCTAGAAATTATCTTTATACTTTTATTGCAAAACAATTAATTACAATACTAGAATTCAAAGAAATTAATTATTAGATCAATGAAATAGTTTACCATAGAAATATGAAGTTAATGTAACAAAACTAAGAAGTTTAGTAGTTTAGCACAATTCTTTTATTTTGCACCTAACGTTCATTTCTACGTACTCATTTAAAAACAATTGGACTTAGTGCTAAAATTTATTAAAGAATTAAAATGTAAATAAAATATGCACTAATATTTATATGTCTATTTTCAGGGTTCTCACAATTACCACCCTGCCGCACCACCTGATATGCCGAGGCTATAAAAAACTCACCCAAGCTAGTTGGATACCAAATCATTTTGTCCACCTGATCCGAAAAAGGTGGAGCCGCCTCCAAGACCCTCTGCACCCAACTCGTAGGCAACACATCATATAACCTCTGCCAATCCCAACAACCTTGTACCACGAAATCCGCAACTGACTGTTCCTGAAAAGTTTCCACCTCTTGACATAGCGGCCCTGATCCTAACCAATTGTCATGCAAAAAACTTGAATTTTCACTACCCAATATCCATCGTATATTCCTCTCTGCCACCACCTGAACATCAATTATCCTTCTCCAAGTGGCAGATTGCCCTGGGCACACCTCGGAATAACACGGATGCAAATTGGAATTATACTTCAAGTGCATGAATTCTGCCCATAATGATTGTTGCAGCCTGAACCTCCACCACAACTTCAGAGAAAAAGCAGCAAAAACATGGTGCAACGACCGCAGACCCATACCTCCCTCCTTATAAGGCTTACACAACTGGTCCCATTTGATCCAGTGAACACGTGGCCCAAAATCTGAAGCACCCCATAAAAAGTCAGCAAAAATATTCTCCAAGAACCTGAGAATCCCCTTGGGAGGATTGGAAGCCGCAAGAATATGGATAGACATCGAAAACAGCACACTCCGTATCAAGACCAATTTGCCGCCATACGATAAGAATTTTTCTTTCCACGAGAGCACTCTATTAACCACTGAAGTACATATAGCCGAAAAGTAACTCTTTTTCCGTCTCCCAGAGTATAATGGGCACCCAAGATACTTTACTGGAAAGGATTGTGCATGAAAACCAGTGGTTTGTGCAATAATACGCCTTCGCACCCCCCAAGATATTAGCATGAGCCAAAAAATAGCTCTTACTATGATTGACCTTCTATCCCGAGATCATCTCATAATCCTCTAGCGCCTTTATAATCAGCTGTAACGACTTCTTCATCCCACTAGAAAAAATAATAACATCATTTGCATAAGCTAAATGGGTAACAACCGGGCACCCTAATGGAACCTTAAATGGCACAAAACCCCATTGCCCAATCAAGGAGTTTAATAGTCGAGACAAGACTTCAGCACCTATGACAAAGAGAGATGGCAATAGCGGATCCCCTTGGCGAATACCCTGACCAGATTTAAAAAAACCTTGGGGCACACCATTAATAATAACTAAGAACCAAACATTCGAAATCAACCTCCAAACCATATCTATCCAAACCTCACTAAACCCGAACCTTCTAAGCACTTGCAATAGGAAAAGCGAGGACACCCTATCGTACGCTTTGGCCATGTCTAGCTTTAAGACAATATTACCCCATCGACTAGACTTCCCTATACCTGACACTATTTCCTGAGCTAACAGAAAATTGTCAAAAATCGGCCTACCTTTAACAAAACCACTCTGTTGAGGTGAGATAATACAAGGCATCACCTTAGCCAATCTGACAGCCAGAACTTTAGACAGAACCTTATTAATAAAATTATACAAACTTATCGGCCGAAATTGACTAAAGTCTTGAGGAGCACTTACTTTCGGGATAAGCACAACCAGTGTCACAGTAATGCTCTTCGGCACCTCAGCTCCATAGAAAAAACTGCCCACCGCCTCATAGACATCATGGGCCACCACGTCCCAAGCAAAGGAAAAGAATTTCCCTGTAAAATCATCCGGCCCAGGGGCACTCTCACCATTCATCGCAAACACAACCTCTCGAACTTCCTCCAAGGAAGGAGCACGCACCAGGTCCTCATTTTGATCATGAGATATTACTTTAGGAATTATACCCAATGTATCCCATGACCCCAAGCAAGGCTCAGCTGTAAACAAACTCTCAAAGAAGTGAACCGCCTCTATTGCAATCTGACTCTCCTCTGTTAACCAAACCCCATTGGCATCCTTACTATTGACTTGGCTCTCCTCTTTGCAACTATAGAGTGGAAATACTTTGTGTTTCTATCCCCATCCTGCAGCCATTTCGCTTTTGCCTTTTGCTTCCAAAATTCCTCCTCCACAAACAAAGCATTCCTAAGTACCGCTCGAGCTTCTTGTAGTGCTAACAACTTCGGCTTAGAGGGATTATCATCAAAGTGAGCCTCTGCCATTGACGCTCGCTCTTCAGCAACGCGCACTGCGTCAAAAATATTTCCAAACTGCTCACGTGACCAACTTTGGAGATGTTTTTTAACTTGACGCAATTTACTAGCCAATCGCTGCAACGGCGGTCCTGAAAATGACCCTTCCCACCCTCTTCGAATCACCTCCAGTAACTCTGGCTTAGACGTCCAAAAATTCAGAAACCAGAACGCTCTTGGCTTATTGTCAAGCCTAGTTATGGCCGATAGCAGCAGGGGAGCATGATCTGAGGGATCTCTCCCTAAATGTTGCACCTGAAAGTTAAAAGGTAAGGCAGCGGCCACCTGGTTAAAGAGCATTCGATCCAGTCGCTTCCAAATATGAGCTCTCCCTCCTCTATTATTACACCATGTAAATCTGGATCCTGAGAAGCCAGCATCTTGTACACCTGCCCTAGCCATAAACGAAATAAAATCCAACCCCTCCTCCAGTCGAAACGATAAACCACCTCTCTTTTCCTCCTCACTAACAATCATATTAAAATCCCTTACTAGAAACCACGGAAGAGCCATAGGGTTATCCACTAACAACGCCGCCCAAAGCAAAACTCTTTCTTGCCCAGTACACTTTGCATGTACAAATGAGAAGACCATCGGCTCAGAGAGCAACTGGGAGTGTATTTTAATCGACAAATGTTGACTAGATTCCCCAATATGCTCACAGACAAGTGACTTTTGAAAAAACACCGACAGGGACCCCTCGCTATTAACAATACAACCATCCATATTCAACTTTACCCGAAATAACTGGACATCCCCTGAAGATAATTTAGGTTCACAAATTGCAACTAGTGGAATAGTGAAATCCGCAATAAGTCTTTTTAACCGATGAAAATTTGGGGCACGCGAGATGCCCCGAATATTCCAAAAAAGAAAATTAATCATCGGACAATATTGCATAAGAGTTTGAAGATAGTTTTGTCTTAGAGCGCAGAGATCGATCACTAGGAGTTGGAGCGCGCGTACCTTTGTGTTTAAGCTTCGTGATCGCTTTAACCCCCTCTTCTGTCCGAACCTTGCCCTGAACTTGTTGAACTATCGGGTCTAGGTTAAATATATCAATGAACAGCGAACTAGCCCCCCGTTGCACACCTCCAACTTCACCACGCGGCGACAAATACCCAGCTACTTGCTCTGCACTATGAACCCCTCCCTCCTCCACCTCTGAGCCAAACGCCATCTCCATGAGAGCCTCCTCCGACCCACCAGTCTCCTCCCCACCCTGATCAACCCCAAAAGTTGCAGCAGTCCCAGAAGAAACCGGCAAACCGGAAGCTGTCAACTCCCCCAACTTGTCCGTAGGCATGCACGGAACAGCTGCTACATTCCCCGACACCAGCGCCTTGTGTGCTATACCAATTTGGTTGTCCACCTTCTCTGCAGTCCTAACGGGAGAAGCTATGGCTTGTGCACTAGGAGACTGCCCAGGCGAAGCCGCAGCCGAAACACCCTCTGCCATACCCGCTGCTGTAGCTTGACTCAGCACCAGCGCTGCGCCTAAATCACCAATTGCACTAGCAGCCACTGCCGACGCCGGAACAACCTGAGTGGAAGCCGCGGGTAAGGCATCCCCCGCCACTACCGCGCCACTGGGATTCACGCCAGCTCTCAATTTGCCGCCCTCCTGTTCTCCAACTCCAGCCTGCTTGGGACGATACGCCACAACAGTCTCCTGTCTCTTTAGGCCTCCATGCGGCAGTGCCGCTCTCAGTTCTGGGTTCTTAACATGGCACCCATCCATCGCATGGCCTTGGCGGAAACAGAAGGAGCAATATGATGGCATGTTCTCAGGCTCTAACACTTGCCAAAAGCCATTCGCCTCATCCATCCCAACACCAACCCATACCCGTTTCGGAAGAGGCTTGAACAAATCAACCTTCGCACAAACACGGGGGGCCATACTGGGGCATGCTAATGAGCTGGTTGCAGCATCCATGAAGAGTGGTCTTTCCAAGCAAGTCACCATGTGAAATAGGCACTCCTTCTTGAAAAAATGAACCGGCAGTTTCGGTAGTGAAAACCATACTGGAACTATTGAAGGTTCTTTATCGACATGGAAGGATGAAGCCCATTTAAACACACGCATTGGGCATCCAAATACATACCATACGTTCCTGCCCCAAAGCCGACGAAAATCTTTCTCACTAGCAAGACGAATAAGCACATGTCGATGATCTAAGAGACCGACCGAAAACTCATCTTTCAAGTCCAAAGCCTTGAAAAACCTGCGAATATCCTCCATGGGAGGACGGCCTTTTGAGAACTTGCCAACCAAAGAAAGCTGAAAAGAGGCTGCAAATTTTGATACGTCCAGCGGAGAGAAGACCACCGCTGGTTCCCCTCTTCTTGTTGTCTTGTCTGTCTGCAACTCCAGCGTTGGTCCATCCTTTGAAGAGAAAAGCGAAGAGAACGACTTATGTTGAAACGAAGGCCGCGACATAGAGATTGGATGCCCTCCATCCTGCGGATGAAGGGCAGCTGAAGTTGCCATGGCACTCAAGAAACCCTAGCTGCCCCCACGTCAAAGGAAGAAGGAGCGTATCTCACTTTTTACTAACATAAGGTCAATAGTTTTATTTCCATAAGTAGATCAACATACTTAAAAACTAAACTCATCTATGAATGTTTTCTTATTAAATTTGCACAAAATATTTGGACTGCACAAGACATATCAAAATTATGATAAAAGATTTAAAGTTTGATCTGATAGTAAAATTTAATCAATTTAATTTTAATTCTTGTACGTACATTAAGCAAGTGGAGAAATATATTATGGATAGTCTTGATTTTCAAACATAATATTATAATTAAAATTATGATATAGGTGTAATGGAATGAAAATCTTTTTAATTAATGGAGAGGAGCCTAATCCTTTGTATGGAAGTAAAGTTTTCGTAGTTAGGAAAATTTTTAGGTAGATCATGTAGTTTATTTAAGAGTTCGATATTTTTTTCATGCCATTTTATTTTACTCCTCGTGACTTCTTTATGCTGCGTACATTGTCATGTTTATTTATGTGATATTTCAATACATCACAATCCACAAAGTACGTCTGTCAGCTAATCCTATCTAAGAATTTCGAACTGCGAATTAACCTCTTTTGAGGGAAATTTCTCTTATCAACCTCTTGTTTTTGTCTTTTTTTGACACAAGGAATTTGATGTCTACCACAAATTTTGTATCAAATTTTCACTAGTTATTATCAATAACTACATGCATGATACATGCTGGAAGATAGCAATAGCCGAAAATTAAGGTATGTGGTAAACGTGTAGAGACTATTTTGTGGCTTTGAAGAAATGTGACACATATTTTTCATACTAATTAAACTTTCTTGATTGCGTAGTAGTATGCTATAATTTAAATGTACTAAATTCTTGTGATTTTAGATTTTCTTCTAAACTTTTTAACAATAAGTTAATTTAGAAAGTTTTCTTAACCAACTTTTTCTACCCAAGGTATATATTGTTTAACATTGAAAATTTTGGAGTTTATTTCCACAATAACCTTATTCTTTAAAATTATTCCCAAACTAATGCACTTTCAAAATATATTCCCTTGTTAACTTACTAGTTGCCACATCGACTTCGAGTATGGAAAATATTCACATTTCCATCTTATATTAAGAGGTACAATCCACATCAATAGATTCTTAAAAACTTTTCAATAGTTCAAATTTTGCTACTTATGTACAATCTTAAAGATAAATAAAAATATTTCTCTATCTATTAGTGAGTTAATTAGTATTTCTCACATTAGATTGGCCCATATAGCATGTTAATTTTGATATTAACACTGACCTAGTTATATTTTCTCTCTCCTATTTTTTTTGGAATGTATTCTCTTTTGATAAGTCAAAAAATGCAAGAGAATTTTTTTTTCAAATTTTCTTTCCCCTTATAGTGGAAGTTTTATAGTTCACGTAAACTATGATTATTATGTATCTTGAAATGTTTATTCATACTTCAAACAATTTGAGCTTTTGCAAACTTCTTAAAATTTACAAAGTTAGGAGACTACCATATATAAAATTGCAAGTAACAAGAAAAAAAAGAAAGGAACTTGTGATATAATCATCAAGAATAAAGCTAGGGAGGAATAATGGCAGCAAAAAAAAAAAGTTTTTCGACAAAATCATTGCAATTTGGAGGGTGATCGACAATTTTAAAACACTAATAATGGATCCACTTTCCTTTTTTAATTTACTTACAGATTGTCCTTAAGGCACTAAATAAAGAAAAACTATGTAATATATAAACAAAAGATTTACAAGTTATTTTTTCCTTTGATGGGGAGTCCACATGGCAATAACTGGATTAATAAGGGAATAAAAACTGAAAGAGCATTACTTTGGGATTACTTTTTGAAAAGTAGATTATTTTAGCCAAAAACTCAAAATTTTGCATCGAAGAGTATTATTACTATAGCAGCACAAACTTTGAAAACTCAAATGTTTGTTTAAATAAATAAAAAGTTTCAATCAATACCCATCCAAAAATAGATCAAGATTGGAGAAAGGATATACTACATTTACAACTTGAAATGTGTGAGATTACAAAAAATTAAATGCAATATCAAAAATTTTAACTGAGAGTTAGGCACGAACATGAAAATGAGTTCCTAATTTGGATGGAAGGATTGATTAGATTATCACAAACTGATAGCAGAACCCAATTGTGGAAATTTTTAAAATGATGTGCCAAAAATTTCTACTGTGTTATGAAAGTACTTCAAGCCCAAAGACAATTTAGATCTAGCAAAATAGATTTAACAAATTTTAGATCTAAGAAATCTTAAATTTAACAAGAAAACTTATATAAATAAAGAAATACTTCACAGAGAAAGTCTTAGTAGAAGAAAAACTCTCACTCGAAAAATTTAGAAGAGAAGAAACTCTAAATAGGAGATTCTAGTATTTAAAAATTTATCACTAGGAAACCATACGAGGGAACTCACTCAAACAAATGAGAAAAAAATTGCAGGTAGGAAGATCAAATAAAGGAAGCAGAAGTTAATTCTAAAGAAGGAAAAGTTTGAAGGAAAGCAGAGAAAATATAGTATAAAGAGAGAGTAGCTAATAATTTTATGTAATAAATATGAATAAATATGTAAGAATCCTATTGATTTTCTTTCTTAAATTAATTATGCCTTACACAAGTTCAAAGCTAATTGAAAAAGAAAAAAATATATCCTGTGCCAAATACACAGCCTAAAATACTAGTCACAAATGAAGCTGAAAAACTAACAAGTACATTACCTTTTAAAAAACTACAACCAACATTAATCTATGTAAAATCATGGGCTTAAAACTCTCTTTCTCCTCCCTACTTCTTAAACTTCACTCTTCTCTGATTACCAAAAATAAAACAACAAAAATACAATCAATGTTAATCACAAATTGTAGTGGGGTTTTTTTAGATGCACATTTCTCTTCTTGATTTTCTTGTCTCATGTGTTGTATAGTTGTTGGGTTTTGGCCCCTACTATTGAACTTGATCACTAGTATTGATGATTGTAAAAATAAATGATGATTAGTATTAATGATTTTGTTGATCTCATTTGGTTTGGTTGGTCTCAAATTCAAATATCACCCACGAACACGCCTCTTGCCCTTGTCGTACGAATTTCGTGACTTTTTCTTGTCAAAACTCTCATTTAATTATCACTAAAGTTTTTATTTAGTTATTGTACCTATTTATCATTGAATGTTGCATTATTTATTGTAATTTAAATTAACCTCAAAACCAAAAAATTCAAAAATGGATGACTTAGGCATATTCTGTTTTAAATTAATTTTGTATTTTCAATTGGAAGCTAAAGGAATTTTTACAAGATGATTAATCCCCAATTATGAAAATAGCACAATTTTTAGAGAAATTTTTGTTTTAGGAATTAGGGTTTTAGGGTTTACGAAATAGGGTTTAAGGGTTAGGGTTTATTGTTTAGGGTTTAAGGTTGCTACAAATGTTAAATTTTTATATTTAAAATTAAAAAAAATAAAAAATGATAGCTCAACAAAAAATGATATCTATGAATAAAAAAAAAGAATTTGCTGCATGTCAAACGGGGGCGAAGCCTTTTCAGCAAATTTTTTAAAAGAAAAACTTTCTTTTTACGTCCTTAGCATTGAAAAAAAAAATAAATTAATTGTTTAATAAAACCTCAAATACCAATTGCAGCTATCCTTACATTAGAAGACAACTTCACCCAAAACCACTTTTGTAATGTTTCCTTGTACGGACAATATATTAAGAAATCCGCCTTCAAATGATGACAGAACATCTTGCGCGAGTTTGGATAAGCTGTTTTTGGAGGTGCTTTTAAAAACTTTACTGTAACTGTTGATAATTTACATTGATAATTTATATATTTATAGTAATATACATTTAAACATTTATAAATATATTTATATTATGTATTATATATAATTTAATACATTTATATATAAATATATGAATATATTTATTTATAAAAGTATAAATATATTTATTTATAAATATTTATAAATGTATTATAAATGCATAAATGTATATAAATATAAAAATATAAAAATTATAAATTATAATTTATACATTTATATAATATTCATTTATAATTTATACATTTATAAATATATTTATATTATGTATTATATATAATATAATACATTTATATATTTTTATATAAATATATTTATTTATAAATATTTATAAATGTATAATTGTATATTGTTATAAAAATTATAAATTATAAAAATACTCGAAAATATGTTTTAAAAATACATCTAAAAATAATCCATAAAACATCTACAGTAAAAGTTTTTTATATAATTTTTGAAAACAACCCCAAAAACAACTAATCCAAACGGACTTGTATTTGAAAAACGAAATGCTACAGTGTTGTTTTTGAAAAACAACCCCAAAAACAGCTAATCCAAACGGACCCGTTGTTAGTGGATGCGTAAGTATCCGTCTGGGACGGTGGTAGTTCGGTTCCCTCCAAATTATCTTTGGGTCTCTTCAGGTACCCTTCTCCCTTAGTCTCCTGGTGATTTAGTCCTCTCCGAATTATTTTTAGATTTCTTCACATCCCCTCCCCCTTAGTATAGAATAGTATATCGTATCCGACAAAAAAAAAAAGAAAAAAAGACAGTGACTGAGGAATTTGAACCACATGGCTCTCATAATTTTTTCCCGATACCTCTTCTATACGGCTTAAAGCTCATTAAGTGTGCCCCTTAAAAAAATGATTGCAAGATGTGCGTAGCATAAGGAGGGCTTCTGGTTTGTGCGACGGGCTTAGCCCATTAACAAGAAAGGCCTGTTTTGTCTCTGTCGTTCTGGAAATCACCTCCTATCGGGTTTTACTGGGGTTTAAGAAAAATCTGATTTTGTCTTCTGCTCTCTCTCCATCTTCTAAAGCCCTAATCAACTGGCGCCGGTCGCCGGCGAGACTTGTATCACTGCGTTACTGCCGGAAAATATCACTCCTAATTATGGCCTCCGACGATGT